TTCGGCCTCGCATGTTTATTGGTCTGTTGGTGTTTATTGTCAGTGTTGCTCGTCTGTCTGTCTGTCTGTCTGGGTGTCGATCTGTGCGTTCGTTGGTTTGCTTACATGCGTGGTTTCCTGTCTGCGTGCGTGAGATCGTGATTGTGTGTGTTCGTGTGATGTTGTATTGGACAGGTGTGTTGACTGATTCGTTCGTCTGAGATTGGTTTGGTGTGTTGGAGGATTTGTGTTGAGTGTGTGTTATTTGTGGTGTTTTGGTGTGTTGGTGTGTGATTTTGTGTGTGTCAGCAGATCGCCTTCATAGCTCAGTGGTAGAGCACTGGTCTCGTAAACCAGGGGTCGGGAGTTCGATCCTCCCTGGAGGCAGTGGATTTTCAGTCCACTCAACACCATCAACCACATCGTCAACAGACACACCACATTCGCCTACACTCATACACCTGCGAGGAGACTGTCGCACAGCCGACACACTCAAACACAAATACCGGAGGTCAACACACGGGAGGTCACCGACGTTCAACGCACAAATCGACAAATACACACAGGCGCAAATGTGCACCCAGCAGTGCAGATGACCGGTCTCCCAGTAGTTCGCACACATTCATCAGACAGTCAGGTGAACACACCATCTTTCATTTTGCGAATTCGTGCTGTTGTCAGTTTGACGCACTACACACTCGAACCACTCGTCATCTCACACGCTGACCAGTGTGTAGGAAGACACGTGACTCATCGAGTGACTGTTCTATCCACTGTGTTGATTTTCGTGCTACTCGTCAGTCGATTGATGGTGCCTGTCACTGACCTGTTGCGACTGGTCCCCAAACTCCTCGTCGACAGTCTGACAAAGACAGGCGTTGCCTTCACCTGACACTTCGTCCACTTCCTCGCCTCACTGATTGTCACTGGTGGATGCCTCGGTGGTTCGCATTTCTTAGTCAGTCAGTCAATCAGCCAGTCAGGCTGTCAGGCTGTCAGGCAGTCAGTCTGTGGCCAGTCAATATATCCATATTGGTTGTGTTGCAGTGACGCTGGTGGAATTGTGTGCGCGCGTGCACGTCTGTGCGTGTCGCCGTCACTTTGAGCTAGTGTGTGTGTGTGTGAGTGTGAGCGTGAGTGAGTGAGTGAGTGTGATTGAGATTGTCTATCTGTGTGTTTGCGTGCTTGCATGAGAGTGTAAATGTGTGGTGAGATAGACAGCATTTGTTCGGTCAATCCTGGTCTCCAGATGAGATTGTTGACGGGTGATTTGAATTGAGATTCGTCTGCTCACCGGTCGAGTGAGCGAAGTTGTGATCGTGTTGACTCGCATGTTTATTGGTCTGTTGGTGTTTATTGTCAGTGTTGCTCGTCTGTCTGTCTGTCTGTCTGTCTGTCTGGGTGTCGATCTGTGCGTTCGTTGGTTTGCTTACATGCGTGGTTTCCTGTCTGCGTGCGTGAGATCGTGATTGTGTGTGTTCGTTTGATGTTGTATTCGACAGGTGTGTTGACTGATTCGTTCGTCTGAGATTGGTTTGGTGTGTTGGAGGATTTGTGTTGAGTGTGTGTTATTTGTGGTGTTTTGGTGTGTTGTTGTGTGATTTTGTGTG